GAAATAACAGTAAATCGCAATTTATTTTTATTTATAAATCAAAAACCACTATTTTTTTATTGAAAATGTTCAGCTATCATAATGGCTAATACTACATCTAAATGTATTTATTACTTACTAATAAACTCGTTTAAGTAAGAATAATATGGGAATGAATTATTTTCAAAACTCTTTGCTAGCCCTAATATTCTCATTGATACTACACTAAGTACACCAGTGGCGTATCTTTCTATTTTGTTATGAATAAACATCTTAAACATTCAATTATTATTTGTCCATTACTTGAGATATCGATTTTTTCTTGTTTAAAAATTTCAAACTAGAATTTTCTTATAATATATTCAATTATTATTCTGTAGCGTAAATAGCTTACTTCCAGTTTTCCGAATTGACTCTTAATATAACATTCTTTGTGATACGATCCTGTGTTTAATAAAATGTGTCTGTATTAACTGTATATTTCGATCATTCTAGAAACGAAACAGGGCAAGCCTGCACAACAACAAACGGGGGACTCTCAGCCTACGATACTGTGGCAGTGTAACCTGTAAAGGAAGAAAAGTCTCGACCAATTCTTTTCCGAAGATCACATTAGAATTATTTCTCGCCATTAATGGAAACCAAAATATTAATTTATTTTACGCCTTCGGCTAACGAAGTTGTAACGATTCGACGTTTTGTCAGCATTGAATACTCACTTTATAAAAAAATTCGAGACTGATTGTTTACATTGATCTTTTTCATTAAATTAGCACAAAAAAGTAATTTTTTTAGTAATAATAATAATACCTAGTTATGACACGTATTGTGAGTATTTACTGTATACCTTTTTGTTTTCGATTAATTTTTTTGTACCAAATCTTTACTATTAAGTTTCATTTAGGGCCTGATGAGCCGCATATATACGAAAACGTACACATTCTGCCAATATTTTGGTATTTTCGAAAGAATCTCGGTCTTTTTGTACAGTGGCTCAATGTGTCATGTGATATTTTGTGGTTTGTGAATGGTTATTGGGTTACAAATGGGTGAAAGTTCGATTTTTTCCAGTCTACAGTTGGTGCCAAAATTGGAAATAGCGAATAATCACGAAATCAATCATCATACTGTAGATATTTTTTTTTTTCTAAAAACATAGTTTAGCTTATTAATTCGATTATGCGTACGTTAGGTTGTTTTTTTTTTCTGTTTTTTGAATAGTTTGTAGTTAAGTTGGCGATATTATTTAGTTATTTTTTCATTGTAAAAGTGTTTGAAGGTTGTGCGTCGCCATCTTGTAATTATACAAATGCTGTGGCAAAAATTTATATAGAGCTGTAAGATGGGGGTGATTTGGCAGTTGCTGTTCCAGTCCATATAGCTATTTTTGTCGGTTTCGCTTTTATTTGTAGTATAATTATTTGGCACCTGTCGTTTTTATAATACAATTTGATCAAACAAGATCGAATAATTTTTTAAAAACTTAGTCACAAAATATAAACGGCAGCGACATAATAATCTTTATACAATGTAAGTATATGATGTGTAGATATGCAACATTGTTAAAAAATAGATGAAATAAACGTACAAACTATCAATTTGTAAAAAGCTCTCACTGGAAAGACAGTAAGATAATTGTAGAACAATTTTTATACAACTTAATTTCTGCGTTTGAAAAGTACCTGGTTTTGCTTTTTTTACTCGATACCGCCTTTTTTGCTCCATTAATATGGTTTGCTCGATGTCACGTGACCAAAAAATCTACTCGCTCTGCTCAATGAGGTACATTTCATACGTAGTAAATGTTGTGCAAGATATCGAATAACAATCGTGAAAAAGATTCAATGTGATAAATATATAAATAAAATTTTTATTTGAAATAGAATCCTATCATTTTCAATTTAGCATTCTCTTGTTAAATAAAAAGTCTACACTTTTAGGCTTCCAACTAAAGTCATATGTACAATCTTTTTGCTTCCGCCTCAGAATTTGATACAGTGCAGGGTGTCATTTCAAATCGACTATGTCATTATTATTATTAGCATTATTATAAAGAAGACGGTGCCAAACGGGTACACTATAGTTTTTAAGCTGTCAAATACCACTCATCTATATTTTTTTCTTAGATAAAAATATGTATAATGTTAAATTACTTGATTTGCGAAATTTATGAATATATCAATGTCTTTAAATTTATTGCATGTGAAACTAATTGTAGCTGTTCGATATAGTTACTCAAGAGTTAAAATTAAGAAGACATAGAAGGCAAGATCATTTAAAAAATATAAATATTCATAATATTATCAATCCGGCATTATTATATTGATATTCAAAAGAAAGCTTTTCTGCAGTAAAAGTAAGGTATCAGTAGATTTAGTCGTATTCTAAACGAGATTACTGTTCTCTTGGCATTTTAGACTCGATTTTTGTTTTTGCAGTAATCCTAGTGGAAGTGGCCGGTTAATTTAAATTGAATTTTGTATCTACAATAGTCAAAAAATGGGCACTTTAAATGTTACTACAAATGAGTTAATAAATAAATAGTTAAGTGACTCACTATTTTTCACTAAAAGAAGTCTAAGGTCATAATTTTCTGTTACAGTTAACTTGAGGATGACCATGTTCTAACTGTCAGACAGTAAACAGCAACTATTTTCGTCTGTTAAGAACATTAACATTTCGCGACTGAAGATTCAAGTTGGCCTATTTATCATCTACTTTCTATTATAAAGTTTGTTTTTGAGCTGTTCAATATATAATTAGATGATGTTCAAATTAAATTACTCTCTTTTCTAATATTTCCAGTGTTGTAAAACAACGGTATTAATGTTAAAGATTGATCATTCAAGAGTAGAAAAAAATATCAGTTTAATAAGTCATTCATCTTGAATTCAAATTTATTATAATTTTTAAGGTAAAATGTTGTGACATCTCGACTGTAGAAGTACGTTACAATAAATATTACTGTAATCGCAAGAACATGAGTTGAAATTATTTGGTAAAGGTTAGTTTTTAACCGGTCACACTGCTACTAATTCATAATAGCTTAATTTTATGAAATGTACAGTGCCTACAACAATACATTTATCGCACGTGACTAAATTGATATCATCAGTTGGCTAAAAATAACATTATATAATAATTTCAGTAGTAACCTTAAAACAATGTTACTAACATTTGACAGAACTGATAGTAAGTTCACTAAGAAAGGCCATTTTCATTAAATTCTTGTTCCATCGGATCACGTGGGGTACACGCGTTGTTGAAGACTCGTTATATTTAATTGGTCGTACCTATATAACCTCGATATAATTTATATAAACAGTTGTTTTTAGTAATCAACATTCAAGTTCCTAAATAGTTTGCAAATTTTAGCTGACATAGATCTGCTGTATAATTATTTGTCATTTTTTTGTTTATTATTCACTAGTCAACCAATCAATTAGTTAACTAACTTGCTGTTTTAAGAAAAGTGGCAAATAAATATTTTCTTTTTGTGATAATGGTTTGAAATGCCGTTTATTAAGTGTATTGTAAGTGTGCTATATATCCATTAGATTAAGATAAAAATATTAAGGATGTAAAATTAGATTAAGGCTCTTTTCAAATACTTTCTATTTTGAAAATAATTTGGTTTTCTTGTGACTCAGATTTATTTGATTGTTAATTGGGATACTTTTTGTATCTAAAAATGGATTTATACAATTGAAATATTGCTATATCTCCCAAATCTTTGGTTTGTGTCACCAAGAATTTGTGAGAGCAATACATTTCAATTAATACGTGACCACCCTGTATATCAAACTCCCTAGTATCATCCATTGTCATTGTGTGTAGGAAAATAATATCGCTGATCAATATACTTCCTTGTCTCACTCCTACATTTTAAAAATGATTAATTTTTTTTGAAGACATGTGATGATCTTGTTGATATTTATTTATATATTTTTTAAACTATCTTTATTTGAAAAGAGTCAAAATTTAATGAACACATCCTTCCTTACCATTTAAATAACTTGTAGTAATACTCCAATGCTCTATTGATTTCGATAATAATGATAATCTTATATACTAATCCTTTTGTATACAATTTTTCCGATTTAAATTTTATATTTACTATTAATTAATATCTTTTGGATTGTAGCGTTGAGAAGATTTCGAGTGTGTTTTATACAAGATTGCCATTTTGACACTCTTAATTTCTAAATGCTTGTATACCAAAGTTTTGGTTAAATATACATAAATATAACTATTGTTTTGCGTTTTTATTTTCTTATCTTCTCCTTATTAACACGTAAGAAGTAGGAAACAAGCAAAAAACTGAATATCTCATAACCATTGCGCAAATTATTGATTTTGTTCGATAAGATTTATAGGAGAAAAGCAGGAGAATAAAATTTTGAGTTATCGTGGCACGGATAATTTCATAAAACATTGACTCAATTCAAAAGAAATAAATGTGTTGTAATGTCACCTATATTTGACGTTTCAATTATATTAAGAAATGGACAAATAACTTGTTACGTTACCCTCACGTCAGTTTGGATATGTTGTACTGGGGACCAGTGGAGGTTCATGGATTACGAAAAGACAAGAAGAAAACATTTTGCAGGAAAAATTCTTTGATGTTTCTTCAAAATTATAATTGAATCTCATGTTTCTTCAAAATTATAATTGAATCTCATTCCCTTTATTCCTACTTCTATTGCTTCACGATTTGGCAATTTCTATTTGGCCCAAAGAAGTAGGATAAAAAAAGAATGAATTATTTGAAATACCAATGGTGGACGAAATTCGGTGTATTTCGCAAAATAAACTTTACATACAGCATTAGTTTTATTTAGGAAAACTTACCATTTTCTTGTCATCTGCACTGGAATATTGGCACTGCTGAAGGAGTGGTTTAAACAAAAATAAAATAAATAAAAACTGGGTATTTTTATTAAACAGCTAATAAACAAACAGAAATGTAGTAAACTCTTAGTGTATAAAAAGTAGTTTGTATTTTTACATTTAAGATAAAATAGTTCCTATTTACAAACAAACTGGCAAGAATACTGAATTTTGCTAAAATTCTTATGGCTATCGAAAAATCATTTGAGGTAATATTCATAAATATTAGGCTGGTATTAAGTATTTTTTTCCATGGCTTAAGTTCCGTACTAAACGGTATTAAGTAACAGTTAAGTACAAAAATAGAAAATATGTTGGTATCAGGTAAGCATAAATGAGAGTTTCAGCTAAATTTTAGAAAAAAAATATCTTTTTATCGTCATTAAATTGTTCACCTTTTCCCTAAAGAGCTGTTCGCATTTAGGATAGCAAACCAACTCAGGACAGACAGTTTCAGGTTTCATCAGGACAGCATTATGGAGAAGTTGTGCAAAACAACCTCTTAATGCCCAATGAAAACCCATCCTCAGTTGTTTCACTTTCCTATTTTACTTGCACGTGAATTTACTACTCCCAAAGTGATTTTTAAAGAATTAGAATTCAAAATATTCTATGCAGAAATAATAAAAAACGAGATCAGACGTAATTACACAGTTTATACTTTTTCCAAACTAATTATATCATGAAAAGAAATATTTTCTTTTTATTAAAGAAAAAACAACGAAATTTTCTATCTGGAAATGTCCAAAAAATATATATAAAACGTATAACAAAAAATTATTTTTCACGTAAATCGCAAATCTGAGCAGCCCAATAAAGGTAGGACGAGATGATTAAAACAAACACAAAAACAAATTAAAAATAATCTGAGAATTAGTGATCCTGTACATTCCTACTTCTTTTGATACTATTTTTTTAAATTTTAAATCAATTCGAAGAAGTAGGAATAAGAATGGAAATTATTGATTTTGTTCAATACGACTTATATTAAAAGAAACCGCGACTATAATTTCGAGTTATCGCGGCATGGGTAATTCCTTGAAAAATTATGAATTAAGGTTAAAAGAAAACTTTTTTTAAAGAAAAATTAAAAAGGAAAAAGAGTATTGATTGAAGTTTCGAGTTGGATATTTAAAAATACATCCGTTACTTGAGTAATTTGTATTTTCCTTTCATGAAAATATTAAATCAAGTAGTAGAAATAAAAGGAGTAAAAGAAAAATCATATTTATAGTAAAATTATTCAAGACCAAAAGAAGTAGGAATAAAAAGGTCTGAACTTCCTAACACAAAGTACATAAAATAAAAAATAATTGTGACTATCTTCCTAGACCAAATATCAGCGACTATTTTTCTAGAGAAATAAATATTTGATCTAGTAAAATAGTCGTCCCAAATATAACACGACCTTGATTAATATTCTGCCATTTTTGTTGTTGCTAAATTTCTCGAACGTTTTTCAATTTGATTCTACATAATTTTTGCATTGCTAAAGTTTCGGGCTCTAATCAGATTATTAATGCTAAAATATTCTCAAGATTTAGATTCAACAAAAATAGCTGAGTATTATTAAGGTCTTGGTATATTACCCTTGATTAAATCAAATATTTATGTGGCACATTTGTAATCCTTTATTTTAATCAAGCAAATTTTAAATAATCAACATCGTTTTATAAAAAAACTAAAATCTTTTCAATTCCAAAAATAAAATTCAATACTTTATTACGCGAACCTAGACGTGTGAACAACGCATCTAATCATTTTGGGAGTAACACGTCTAAAATTCCTCAAAAACCTCTTACTTTTTTCTCGAATCTATGAAGTGATGTTACATAAATAACAAAAACATAAATAAGTATGTCAGATTGGCAACTGGTATTCACGATATTTTTTTTTTTTATTATTTAGATAGAAACCTAAAAACATCAAGCTAATCCTGCATCACGTGACATACTGTAAAATATTGATCTTTCATTAGCTAACAGATTGGCCGGGGTATCGAACTCGGCGACTTCTCCTTTATCCAGAACGATAACTCGGTCCGAATCCATAATAGTATTCAATCTGTGCGCGATTGTAAGCACTGTGCTATCCTTGAACTCTGTCCTGATTGTTTTTTGGATGAGATCGTCAGTTTCTAGATCGACGGCTGCGGTGGCCTCGTCTAAAATGAGAATTTTCGTTTTTCTCAGTAGGGCCCTCGCAAGACAGATTAACTGCCTTTGCCCAACGGACAGATTGTCCCCTCCTTCTGTCACTTCGTGGTTTAAACCAGCACTTAATCCTGAAATATAAAGAACACATTTCGTACAACTATGGTAATTTCTTCATTTAAAATGTAATTTTAATCTTTGTTTTCTTAATGTTTTTAAATGTGTCAGAGGATGAAATAATTTTAACTTTGAAGCTGAAAGATTTGAAGAGCTATTTATTTTATTTCTTCAACTGGTTTTCCCCCAGTATCAACTTTTTTTATTAAGACCAATAATGAATCGTTACATACCTTCAACAAATTCTTTAAGATGAGCGTGTTCCAATGACCTCCAAACATCCTGATCGCTGTGAGCATCAAACGGATCCAAATTCAAACGTAATGAACCAGAAAACAGAACAGCATCTTGAGGTATGATTGTCAATCTCGATCTTAACGTATGTAAACCTAGTTCATCGATTTTGACGCCATCGATGAAAATATTTCCTTTAGCTGCTTCAATTATCCTGAAAGGAATTAATTTTTTTATTAAAAATTGTTAAAACAAAGAGATGAATAATGTACCTGAATAATGCCAATGTCAAACTGGATTTACCGGCACCGGTCCTGCCTACGATACCGACTTTTTCCCCGCCCCTTATTTCGAAATCGACATCTTTCAGTACCAGATCCAAACCCGGGCGGTATCTTACGGAATAATTTTTGAACGCTACTGTACCAACTGATGGCCAGGTAGACGGTGGGTTCTTGTGTGGTACTTCCCAAGCTGCTTCTTGCTGCGCCTCACCGTATTCCTTGATACGTTCGACCGCTACAATGTTTGTTTCTACATCAGAAGTCATTCTGACTAGCCAGTTAAGCGTTTGGGTAATCTAAAATTGTCGAATGCGTAAGAAATATTACCATTATTATAGTATTTATGATTACTTACCTGTAATGCATACGTAATAGACAGCCCCACCAATCCAGGAGCAGTATCCTTTCCGATAACCGCAAACAGAGCGGCGAAGAATATGATCAGGTTGCCCAACATTTCCAATCTGACAGCCAACCATCTATTCGATATGATTCCGGGATAGTAGCAGATTTGATTCAGATCTACCTTTTGTTCTGATTCTCTGATGAATCTATCTTGTTGGTTGTACGCCCTTATGGCATGAGCGCCAGATACGCTTTCGCCAAAGTGGGAATAGATCGGGGATCGCGACACTGATTCCAATCGCTTGACTTGTCTGGACGTGGCCACGTAGAATCTTTGTACAAAGTAATAGATAATACATAGCGGTATGATTACGGCTATAAACAGTGGCGTAGTGTAACTTATTACAACTAGGGTGCCTACAACCTAAAAATATCGACGTTATTATTTTGTAATAATAAAATATTATTTAGTCAATCCAGGATTTCTTTTGATGTTTACAATAAAATATTCCCTGTACCTGTCATAGGAATCGATAATATGTGTATTCAAGTGAGTAATATTCTTAAAAATAAAATATATACATGGTGTCTTTACAAAAACACATCAAATACCAGTACAAAGTTGATTAGTTTGGTCGCTAGATGGCTCTGAAATTACAATTTTTAACTTGTAACTGAGCAACTTTATACTGAGGTAAGTTTACTTAAATCGGTTTATTTTGATCTAATACCTTTTATAGACACCATGTATTTTTTTATCAAATATTAAACGTGGTACTAGTCAAGTAGACACATCAAAACGAATAAGCCACATTATACATTTTAACACATTACTAGTCAGCTTATATTGTAAGAAAAAAAAATCCTGGATTAAGTTTAGTGACCCCCATTTCGTATGTAATTGTCTTCTATGATATTGGTGCTAGAATTTGTTTGGTTTGATCAGTTTATGAAATGACAGAAACACAAAACGGCCTTTTAAAGTGTTTCTTTTTAGACAAGTTCATTATTTTGACAAACTTACTTTTTAAAGTACCAGATAAAAACCTGCACACAAATATTCTTGGTAAATAATGGTATAGCTTGATTATTGGTGAAGTAAATCTGTCAGTAGTGAAAGCCAAAGAAGTATATTATATTTTACACTAAAGTTAATATTTTAATTTTCTAGGACTAAATTATAAAATGCGGAAGAGAAACAATTACATACTAAATAGCGAAACTGAAATAATTTGTGAGTTGAGTAATAGCAGTTATATTTAAATTTTTTTTTTTTGATAATAAATAGTTCGTATTTAAAAACGTGTCGATATAAAATATGCTATATAGGTGAAAAATTGAGAGACTGTCGACTAATACAGCCTATATCCTGGGAAAAACCCTTAGAACTACTACTAGTAAAAATATTATTTTTCAATGGTCAAAAAAGTTTAGTAGGTCTTCAAATTATAGTTCAACCCCCGTATTAAACTACAACCAGGCATCAAATAAAAACAAATCATTCTGTCATTGATTTTAACATTACAGTTTGGAGTTTTTTAACATACAAGGTGGACCAAAAATGTCGAGCAATACTTCTAGAGGCCATAGATCACCTTGAAATATTGCTCGGCATTTTTGAAATGTGTAAAAAAGTAGTTTAAAGGTATGCAACTCAATTATTTTTTTAGTAGTGGTACAGCTGAGTGTAACGAAATTATAACGTTACTTTTACAAATCACGTTACTATAGAGTTTGTTTATACTTTTTACTTTAATATCACAATTTTAATTTGTATTCTTGTTTATTGTAGATATGTTAGGTTATTATTTATTTTCAATGTTGTCTTTTAAGGTAAAGAATTATTTTCTATGAATATTTGACATTTAACTCGTTACTTTGCAGCAAGAGTAACGCATTACTTTTTTTAAGTACGATTTCAGATCTGATGAGCAGTAGTATATTTTCATATGAATGTAGTCTTAAAAATAATAGAAATTAAATCAAATCGTTTAAATCATCTGTACTATTCAGTGTGATCAATAATTTATGAATTATTTCATCCAAATAGTATTTATAATGTTCAAGAAATCCAGATTTTGTTGATCAAAATCAAAAAATACATTTTATGACACTCACAGATACACTGAATCAATGCGATGTTTTTTTGAAAGGTTGTCAACAGATTTCATTAGTTCAGTAGTATTTTTAATTTGAATTTACAACCGCACGTAATTAATTAATTATGAGAACATTTTGTTTCCTTTGAAATTTGCGAAAATTGTAGGAAAACAACAAGATGTTCTTTAAAAAAATTATGACCTTGTGTGGTATTTGGAAAGCTTATTTAACAATATAAAGGAGACTTTTAAAAGTACAATTAACTTTAATTTTATTTGATTAATATTAATATTTGAACAAACAACACGATTTTTATCTATTTTTCGCCACCTTTTCAGATACAGTTTGTTTTGAAAAAAGGGAAGAATGGATACATTATGATGTTCAATAGTCAAGTAAAAATCAAAAATAAAAATACACGTCTAATTCTCTCTAAAATGGAAGGAAAATTGATTGACACCTTGCCTCCAGTTTCAATTTTTACTTGGAATATTATCAATAGAACATTGAATGACAGTGTTATAAAACGCGTTCGCGACCGACTCTGTCAATACAGCAACTTCGCCGTATTTGAGGCTCATCAGGCAACAGCAGTCAGCTGAGTATATTAGCACGAAAGAAGGTTTTAATTGAATATTACTGAAGACAAAAAATACCTCGAATAAACAGAATATCCCATCGGCAAAGTACCACGGTAAATCATCATCGACCACTTCGATGTCTTTGGAAAACCTAGCCAATATTCGACCTACGGGAACGGTATCGAAAAAATGCATGGGCGTTCGCAAAATTCCCAAGAGCAATTTGTGGTGCAAGACCATAGCAGCGCCTAAAGTTCCCAGTTGAACTCCCAGATCAGCGAACATGACGGGTATAGCTAAAATGTTTTGATGAAAAAAAAAAAAAAGGTTTCTCCGTATCTATTTCAGTTTAGTGAGTTTGCTATAACACGTCCCTAGGTGCATATATGTATAGTGTTGGTGTTTTATACCGTCACACGTTAGTATGTGCTTAGTTGTTGAAGCCATTCGAATAAGTACCTACCATAGCTTTAAAATGTTGACGCTACGTATGTTAGGATTATTTACAAAATACAGTTATTAGTCAAGCAGTAAATTTTCAAAGTCGTGTTAACTAACCCAGCACCTTGCTTATAACCGATTTTCCGATAACAACAAAAAAGTGACGTATCGAATGACACCTAGCTTGAAAGCGTTTAAAATTTGATTTGTCTTAATAAAGGTTAATTTTTTAAGTACAAGAAACGTGACAACTGCAGGCATTCACCGTCAGATATATGAAATTTACGGGGAAATAACAATGACTGACAATAAAATGTAATCAGGTATGATTTTGCTTAAAAGCTACATATTTCTGGGGATGCAGAATAATAGAAATACTGAATTTATTCCATTTGGCTGGTCCACACTGTATTTAAATAAAGGAAAGGCACCAAGTTTGAGGTAGATTATACAATTGAAAGGAGTTGGACATTAGTAGAGACCTAATTTTAGGCTATTCCACATTAAAGTATCAAAGTTTTTATTGTTTACAGATAACTCGTAAACGTAAACAGTGGGATTCACTGGTTCTTCTTAATTGTCAAAATATTTTTTTTTATATTGACAGACTACAAAGCTAACCAGTATTGGTACGAAAGATTTAATTTTATTGAAGATAAATACAAAAAAAAAATACCCCGGAAAAACACCTCATCCAATCGGCAAAGAACGACGGTAATTTATCATCGGCCACTTCGGTATCTTTGGAAAACCGAGCCAATACTCGACCCAAAGGGATGGTATCGAAAAAATCCATAGGCAGCCGCATAATTCCCACAAGCATTTTGTGGTGCAAAGCCCTAGCAGCGGCCACAGTTCCCATAAAAATTCCCAGATCAGCGATAAAGGCAGGTATAGCTAAAAAAATTATTAAAAAAAAAAAAAAGAATTGATCCGATCTATTTCAGTTTAGTGAGTGAAAGATACTTCACGCCCCTAGATGCATATATGTATAGTGTTGCTGTTTTATAACATTGATTTAGTGATGGCTGTACTGTGTGTGTGTGTGTTTAGTTGCTGAATTCATTTAACTAATAGCGTCTTCGAATCTAGAGCACGGCTTGCACTGAGTGCATACGAAAGGTGGGAGATATGTTAATATCAGTTACTTCTCAATCTGAAATGTAACCGGTATCGATATATCGCTCATCTTTTATGTGCACTCCACGCAGGCAGGGCATTGGAATCGAAGACGCTATAAGTTACCGTATACCGAATGTTGGCGCCTAAAGAAACAATCTAAATTAAAATAAATTAACATTACAGATTTTTCTTCTATGCTTTTTCGCTATTATGTTTGATTTGAAGAGTTTTACAAAAAAATTATTACCGAGGAAACACGGAGAATTGTAGTAGTGACTTTTTGCTTTTTTAAACTGGATATGTGTGCATTCGGTTGCCTCTAAGAAGACTACAAAAATTAATTATGAAACGAAACCGAAATATCTGTTTTAATCATCGCTGTTTCTTAGGATTATTTACAGAAAAGTATTGGTAGGTTTAATTTTACTGAACATAAATACAAAAAATACCTCACAAGCACAATTCATCCAATCGGCAAAGAACCACGGTAATTTTTCATCAACTACTTCGGTATCTTTGGAAAACCGAGCCAATACTCGACCCAATGGGATGGTATCGAAAAAATCCATAGGCATTCTCAAAATTCCCACAAGCATTTTGTGGTGCAAGACCATAGCAGCGGTCACAGTTCCCAGATAAATTCCCAGGTCAGCGAGCATGGCGGGTATAGCTAAATTGTTACATAAAAAGAAAGATTTAATTGGATCCGTTTTAGTTCAGTGAATGGATACATCATCCTTCTAGATGCAAATATGTATAGTGTTACTGTTTTATAACACTGCATTAGTGATGGCTGCACGATGTGCTTAGTTGCTGAAGTCATCTAACTAAGCAACCATATACCAAAGGCTATCGCTTAAAGAAACTAGTCAAATACTAATTTGTAACATAGATGGGAGACCAGGAAAGCTCCACAATAGATGCTTTTTACAATTAATCCGAAAGATTTGTCGTGCGAGCCATTTTCCGACTAGTCGGGTGCTGCTTTATGGCAAGCGAGGGCGTCGTTCAGTCTACTTACACGAGACATTCGAGAATACGAAAAGTTACTCGAGTCTGGTGCGCACGTGCACGTAAAGGCATCAAGAAAGTTTAGAATAATCAGGACAGGGCTAGTAGGACAAATTTTTATATAAATGGCGCGACTTTCTCTATAAGTAGTTAAAGCTAGATATTCTATATCCAAAGAAAAATATTGTTAATATAAATTAATATAAGTGTTTGAGCTATAAAAAGTGTAGTTTTCAGTACTAATAAATTTAGTTTATAAATAAACTACTGTTTCGGTAAATACAAATTAAAATAAGCGTTTTCTAATCAATTTAAGTTACAGATTTTTCTTCATTGCTTTTTCGCCTTTATAATTGATTTGAAGAATTCTACAAGTAAATTATAATCGAGAAAACATGGGGAATTGTGGTAGTGATCTTTTGCTTTTTTAGACTGAACATATGTGCGTTCGGTTCTCGGAGCGAGACTACAAAGATTATTTATGAGACGAGGCCAAAATAGAATTCGTTTTTATCATTGCTACGTTTCTTAGAATTATTTACAAAAATTATTAGACAAATAGCAAATTTTCAATTTAATGATAATAAGAATTTAAAAATTCATTTTTTTGTTTCAACTTAGATTTTGAATTATAAATTATTGTTTCAAATTTTTAGACCAGGTTTAGGTGAAGATGTTTTTTTAATTTAAATTACTTCAAGAACGCAATGAAAATTTCCTCTAATTGGCAATGTATGATTATTTAGAAAGACCACACTGTGTAGTACGCAATGAAGATCAAATTTATAACACAAACTACATGTTTTTATAGTTATTTTTTATTTTATTTATTGGTACACCACTCAATTACAAAATGAGAATACCCACAATGTACAAATTAATGTACACAAGAAAATTTTAAAATGTCCAATCGAACATATTATATAAGAAAAAGAAAACAGGGTTTATTTTAGGCAGACATTACTTATGCATGTGAAACTAATGTAGAAAAAGTAAAGTTGGTAACTGCATTTATTACAAATACGACAAAGTTGGATATAGGGAAGGAGGATGAATAGCACGTAGTGGATCCCGATGGTGGGGGAAAGGTTTTGTGATCAGTAAAATTTGAGTTGCCCATGAATGGATTTTTATATTTTTGCTGGCAATGAAATATACAGGGATTACATTTCAAAACTAGCCACCCAAAATAACTTTTAAAATATCTTTAAAACAAAAAAACACGTTAATTTATATTTACGGGGGGACACATTTTACAAGTATCTGTAACCGTGCAGTTTCATCCCCTAAGCGGTGGTGAATATCACTTCTAAAATTTTAAATAGAAAGGGGTATCATGTGATAGCTCTTCTTAAAGGTCTCTTTTTTCCAATCTTTTGACACATTATTTTTTAAATCGGATTAATTTTTCACCAAGTTATAACCTAGAAACCGGAAAAAAATATTGAATTAAAATGTATGAGTATAAATACCGAGATAAACAAGTTAGCAAAAAGCCTTAAATGTTTTTTGCGTAAGATATTTTTGACCGTAAATTAAAACAATTTATTATTAGTAGATTATTGGTTTCGTTGTGTACTGACAATTTAATTTTGACAATGGTTTATTCTTTACAAGAAAGAATTGAAATAGTCTTTATTTATGGTGAAAAACAACGCTGTGCACGCAGAACTGCTCGTGTTTTTAATCAGAGACATCCCGATAAAAATGTTGGGCATCAGTATGTGTTGGATTTAGTTCATAAATTTCAAGAAACTGGAAGTGTGTGCAATAAAACTATAAGAAATCGTAGAGTTTTAACTGAAGCTGCACAAGTTGAGATTTTAGGTTATTTTGCCATGGAACCTCAAACATCAATACCAAAAGTCTCCAGATTAACAAATATTTCCGTTGGCTCTGTGTATAAAACGTTACGGCTAAATAAATTCTTTCCTTACAAAATACAGCTTTTACAACAGCTTGCTGAGGATGATTATGACAGTAGATTAGAATTTTGCGAATTAATGACTCAAAGGGCAAATGAAGACCATAATTTTATTAAAAATATTTGTTTTACTGACGAGGCAGGTTTCTTTTTAAATGGATTTGTCAATAAACATAATTGTAGGTACTGGGACAATATAAATCCACATGTTTTTCGGGAAGAGCACAGCCAATATCCTCAGAAAATCAACGTATGGGCCGGAATTCTTGGTAATAAAATTATTGGTCCTATTTTCATGGAGGAAAATTTAACTGGGGAATTGTATTTGAACTTATTTGAAAATCTGATAAATCCTCTTATAACCGAATCCTTAGAAAACCAAATAGATCAAGATGGAAATTTGTTACTAGACGAAGAAAACCTATTTTTTCAACAGGACGGAGCACCTCCACATTATGCCTTGCCTGTACGTACGAAATTGGCTTAATGAGACATTTCCAGATAAATGGATCGGAAGAAGGGGCGCTATAGAATGGCCAGCGAAATCACCCGACCTAACGCCCTTTGACTTTTTTTATGGGGACATCTAAAAACTGTGGCGTATAAAACTCAACCTCGCGATATTCATGAACTTAGATGTAGAATAGTGGAGGAGTGTGAGCGGAACACACCAGAGACGCTTCAAAAAGTGCGGGATGAATTCGAGCTGCGACTTTACCATTGCCTTGCCAACAATGGCGGACATTTTGAACATCTTTGGTGAATTTCGGTATAATTTAAATTTACCGCGCATCAAAT